GCGCGCCGCGCCGCCCCGCCCGCGGAGCCGCGGAGCTGGGGTGTGCTGCAGAGCTGGGGTGCGCCGTGGAGCTGGGGTGTGCCGCAGCCGAGCAGGTGCCGGTGCCCGCATTCACACGTGTCCTTGGCCTCACACCTTCTGGCTATCCCAGGAAGGAAAGCTAAGGAGTGGGACAGGCGCTCCCAAATTCGCCTTCCTTATACGCTGCAGATTTAGAAACCTTCCACCCAGACAAGCCATGGCCACCAGTGGGATGTGGAATAATACCTCCTTCACTAATTAACCCATGGCTGCTGGAGTACAGTTACTTTCAGACTCATCAGAGGGAGAATGGATTTCTCTTCCTGGAGTAAATAATACCCATTACTAGGAGCTGTAGCCTGTCCTCACACCCACCTCCAAGGCCAAACATCTGCGGTAAGTTGGGGTTATTAGCCCGTCGTGTTGCCTACTAGAAAGCGTGAATTGGCTTTGGAATCGCTCTACTTCGTCGTAGCAGAAATGAATCCGTCTGTAGAAGACGGGGCCTTGTGTCTGGGGGTGAAAGGGCTCAGCTACAAGCTTCCGCCCCAGCTGACTGAAGCCAAACCTTGGAAAGGCAACTGGTGATTTTTCGCAGGCTTAGGAGACTGAATTCTTCTAAACCAGGGAGTGGTTCAGGCAGACTGGTGTGGTGGGAGATGGGAGTCTGAACTGGTTTGATGGGTTGAGTTAGAGCCTCTCTGCAAAAGGCAGATGAGAAAGATGAAAGATCTGAAGTGGTGGGCAAACAGCAGGAACAGCTGAAGGGGGCTCAAGGGACGACCCGGCAAGAGCTGGAGTGCCCAACCCAAGGAGTGACGTGCCAAGGGCTGCTGGAGCCCCAGTTCTTCATGCTCCATCACGGGCTGCCTCTGCATCCCAACACGCAGCCGGTGCGTGAGCAGAGGGTGTCGCTGGGCCGGGAAGTCCTTGAGGCCTCCCTCCAGCTCCCTCCATGCGTGACACTGTCCTTCCAGGGAATACACATCCTGCCTGGAAAATGACATTGCTCTGAACTCCCATCGGGAGGAGGAAATGTAACACACAGGCTGCACAGTCCCTGTCCACAGGCTTCTCAAACCTCAGCTGGATGAGGTCCTGGGAAACTCGGATCAAGCCTGAAGCTGGCCTGTCGCTGAGCAGGGAGGCAGACCGGAGACCTACGGAGGTCTCTTCCAACCCAAATCACTCGATTATCCTGTAGGGCACCAGGAGAGCTGCTTTTCTGGGAGGCGCAGGTGCTATCCCAGGTGAAAAGCTTTGAGACAATCACCAAGTTACTCCAGAATGAGGGTTTACGTAACTGGCAAACTAGACCTTCCGGGACTGGTGCGTGGGGTTGAGCTAGCACTGCTGGAGTAACACCACCATTCCACTTCAGCCCAGAATGGGGTCAGGTTCTTCTTGTTTCCTTGAAGTTTTGGATGTAAAATGTTATCAGACTAAGAGTTTGGATCTAGATAGTGAGGAAGAGTGGTGAACTGTTTCACCCAGGTTCTTCCCAGGAAAAAGTGGATGGAGCTGGCTACACTTAGTGGTTGTGCGACCTCCAGCCTCTGTTCATTTCTGCAATCATTTCCTAGTTTCTTCGGCATTTGGGCCTTTGTGGAATCATCCCCAGTACAGCTTTTCCCCTCAGGGTTACGGTGATGACGGAGACGCCATTCAAACACCACGGTGTTGAGCGGAGCTGCTCGTGTGCTTGCTGCGTTCCAAGAGGCTTCTCCTGGTTTGGCCAGAGTGCTCCCTGCTTACACCTCTTCTTCTGGCACAGAAGTTACCTTGCAGTGCCTTTGCTAGTGACCCGGGCACCCACATGTTTCTCAAATATAAAACCCTGGGGTGTGTATGTACACCTGGATAAAACAGCAGCTTTGTTGAAGAAAACAAACAATACCTCTGGAGGGGTTGTGCCTTTAGTGCAGGCCAGGACGCACTTGACGCAGATCGGGTGCGGGCAGTGGCAGCTGTCCCTGGGGTACTCTGGCAGGGATGCACGCTGGGATGTCCTGAGGAGGCACAGCTTGCCTCAGACGCTCTTACAGCCAGGAAATACACCGTATGCGTACCAAGCATTACACGTTTGGGCACACCTTACCTGTCCCAAGCTGGAGAAGGTAAGTACCAGATCTCTCTGTGGATCTACGATGGCTAAAACTGGGGACTCACAAGAACGTTACAACCCCCCTGCGCTTAACCGCAGCCAGCTGCCGGGAAGGCAGAGCAGCGCTAGCAGCAGAGCATGTGCTATTGCTAGCAACACCAGTTGTGATTCCATGGGGAAAGTCTGTTTAATTTTGCACTTAAAGCAGGAATTCATTAGTGTTTCCTTTCTGAGGCTACTTCATGGGTGGAAAACAAATTTTTGAGGTAACACAAACTACGTCCTTTACCAGGTAAAGGATCCCGCTGGTAACAGAACCTTAGCACCATAGGTTAGGGATGGGGTTTTCCTTTGTTATCCTGGCGTAGCCTCTTGGAGAAGCTATGGGTAACACGAGAGGGGAGGAACACAAGGGAAGGACAGAACTGGTGCACACAAGACAACAGTTTCAAGACACCAGCTGAGCAGCACTTGGGTCATTTTGTAAGCATGCTAGGCAAAACGCTAGCCTGAGGAAGACCCTCTGATGCAGATGTGGAAATGTTAACTAGCCCTCAAATTCTTACGGAAACATTACATCACGTAGTGCTTTAACTGCCCACAGACCCCTACAGCTAAAGCGTGTCCAGTATCAACTGTAAGAGCCTGTGGCTTAAAGCAACAGGGGGCTTCGCTCTCCCCGCACGCTGGCATGCCGCCTGGGTTCCTGGGACACGGAGGAAAAACCCAACTTCATTGCGACTGACGTTTCTGAAAGATTTCTAGGCATGTATTTAAATTCACACGGCAGCTCTGTTACTCCCGGTACGAAGTCCAGGGGACAGAATGGCACAGGGCTGAAGTGACTGAGGACCGACCACGGCAGATGTTGCATGCCGTTGCTACAGCTCATCGTTAGATGCTGGCACCTACTGAACAGCTGGGGGCGGAACAGAATTTATATAGGAACAAAACAAGATGCAATCACCACTTTTTAATGAGCGTGCACGATAACACATTGTAAAAAGCCTTTTTATAGAAATTACCTTATTGCAATTACACAGGGAGAGAGAAAGGGTTCTCAAGTTACAGTGTACAAAATAAAACACATCGCTCCAATGATGGACTTAAGAAAAATCCCTAAGTGTCTTGGAACTGAAAGCTATCCAGTTTGAAAGATACTGATTAAACGTCTTCTGCTCCTCTATGCTGAGAGATCAGAGATAACTAGTTTGTCTGACTTGCCTCCGGTTTCAGGGGGAGATAAGACTTCATCCGTGTCATAGTCGTCTTCAAATGATCTGCAAAAACAAAAGGTAGGTCTTTAACAGCCGTGTTTTGGTGGGAGCGTTGTCGGGTAAGTTATTTCAGAGGCTACTAAAGCAGCTGGCTAAAACACAGTAGCATGCAAGATTTTAACCCCCAGGAGGGTATTTATAAGGCATTGAAAACAGTGTGGTAGTAATCAGTATTCTGACAGCTGACATGAGTTTGTGCTCCCACCCATCCTCGTTTGTAAGTTCCGAAGCACCTTTTCACTGGGGTTCAGCATTACAAATCTGAATCCAGTTTCAGTAACAACTGTCAGTAACTCGCAATAAGTAGCTCAGTGTAGAAATGAAGTCGTGCAGCCACACATCCAGGCCCTAGAGGAGATTCGGCTTGCTCAGACCTGCTCACAAACACCTGGTTTCCAAAGCATCTTCTGGCTTAGGATATGTTTTCACATCCCCAGCACAATTGCGGCCATGCTGTCATGTTCCTCTCTCACTTGGTTTAAGTTTAATATCCAGGTCTTCGCATTTATGGCCTGGGGAGGTTTGGCTGCGAATGCTTAGCTCCAGCCAGCTGCACTATTCAGGCTGGTTGGGTTCTGTGCTCTGCAGCAGAGGATAGCCCATTCCTATGCCTAAGAAATGATGGTTTTAAGATGTTTTCCCTCCAGTCTCAGCACACGACAGGTGTGTCTCAGGGCTCCCAAGAATTCCAAGTTCTTCCTTTTGTTCTGAAAGCAGTGCTGCTTATGAAGGAAATGTTGCAGCAGGTGTTCTGATGGTAAGCCCAGGAATAGCTCTAGCTTGTTCAGTGATAAACTGTCCTGTAAAACGGTGAACTCCTTTCATATCCCAGCATGGATGGTGCCAAGAAAGAATTGTCTATGACTCCTTGTGCTGTTCTTCCCTTCACTAACCCATACGCAGGCAGAGCAAATCCTTGGGAGCCTGTCAGGATGTATGTCCTGCTGGGGAGGATTCCATGCTACAATCTGGTGATCCCTATGTGGAGAAGAGTCAAACAGCACAGAGATCATCCCGGACAATATTTTCATCTCCTCTTCCATAAAGGAAAGCACCTGCTGAGTAATTCTGCCACCTTCTGGATCCTTGCATAAGTGGGAGAATGGAAACGATGCTCTGGATCCTACCCCAGTAACCGCTCATGCACGCAAGGTTGCCAGAAAGCGCGCACTAGGCACAGTTCCCGCTCAAGTGGTACCAGGGGGGCGTCTGCACGGCCCTGCCTCCCCGGCCTTCCCCGCTGGGGAATGGACTGCGCAGGTTTGTACCTGCCTCACTTCCCCTAATGTCTCCTTGGTTTAGGATGATGCAGCTGAGGAAAAGGGTTTATTTCCATTTGAATGCTGTTCTTAGGAATGCTCCTTTTGTGCCCCTTTCCCTCCAATTTTACCAATTCTGTTAGCTTTCTTCCTTCTCCTATACGTGGAATGTCACCTCTTTCCTGTATTCTTACCTTGTGCGTTCACCAGCACTTGTGGCTCCACTATAATTTTTCTTCTGGTGCCTTTTGCTTCTGGACTGAACCTTCTCGTGTCTTCACAAGGGGCTTCCTGTAGTCTGTTCACATGAGTTACTTTTCCACATCACTCTTTTGCTCCTTAAGGCTCAACAGTGCCCGCCTTTCCCATCTTGGAAAAAGTGCCTTCCACACTGATGGCTAGGAGGCATTCAGGGAACAGCTTTATCATGGGATTAGCACTAAAAGTAATCACCTTCTCTCAGGCCAGTTTCAAATCTTTAGAGTCCCCTAAATACAGATATGGGCTCAGGTAAACACCCATTCCTCAAGACTCAACCTTGGCAATTCTGGATTGTTCAGAGAAGGCAAATGACTCCAGGAAATTCTTTGTCCTTCCGTCTGGCAAACACACACATTTAGTCACGGGGCAGTTCAGCGATGTACTACTTCCCCCTTTCCCTTCCTTATGCTGCCTGGTTCATGAAAGCGAGCAACTGAGCCATCAGCCGACTGGAGGGAGACCAGAAAAATGGTGTAAGATGCCTAAACCAGCATTGGCTGATCCCAGTGTGTCCCACCTATCTGCCTCCGAGCAGGATTGCTCTGCATTGGTGCCCTCCCTCCTTGCTGCTCAGGTGAAGGGGCTTCTTTCCTATCAGGAGCTGATAAGAGATGACCTCTTCCCCCTTATTTCCCTTCCTATGAAGAAAGATCTCTTTCCATGAAGGCAATTGTGGCTTCCATGTACATCAGCTGGCTGAAACTGGATTCTGGAACAGTGAATAAAGCGGTACCCACTTCTGCCAGGCAGGACTGCAAGGAAGGATTTCTGCAAAACCAATGCTTGTATCTGCATTAAGAGCTTGTGTGGGTCAGATTGAACTGTCAGTCTGCCTTCACACAATAACGTGGGTGTATGGTCGCCAGGGAACAGACCCTCTTCATCAAATCTCAGAACAGGGATGAGAAGTGTGCAGATCAGCTTAAGCTTCCGGTGAAACATGATGCTTCACTGTTGTCCTGAGAAACATTTCTCATCTTATTTTTGGTGACTGTAGCTCTCACTAGTGTCACAGCATCCCTCAAGTCACTCTGAGTGTCCGCCGTGTCTCGATGACACCCCTCTTCAGGAGCAGTGCTCTCTGACGGGCAGGCCTGCAGACAGACACCGAGTGGTTTTACCAACCTGCCATCCCGGGAAGCTGAGGAGAGGGCTACGTCACAAGTATGGTACACATGCATCACACCATGGCTGAATGATGGTTATTTTCAAATATATTACTAAGACAAATACCAGATTTCACATTCTGCCAGCTTAACTTGGCAAAAAATCTGTGGGTCCCTCAGAGCTCAAACTGTCTTGGTTTTGTCCCTGCTCCCTCTTTCTGTCATCCTCAAAGGACAGCAGAAATAATGTATGTGCAAAAACTCAATGCCTGTTTCTGGCAAATTTGTCTGGGCATCCAGCTCTTTGTTTTTCCTTTTCCCTTCCTTTTTCCCTGCGTAGTCTGTTGCTATGCTCCACGAATGAGATCTAATCCTGCTGCCATGGCTACAGAGCTTTTCAGGAGCCCTTAAAAGCAAGCAGCAAGGTTGCCGACATACTCTTTACAGAAAGACACAGAGCTGTTTCAGATGGATTTCAACAATCTGACATCACTCTGGTTTTGGTGAGTTTGGGGATTCATGGTCCTGCAAAGCTTTTGGGGCAGACTCCTATTTCTTTTCTGTGCTGAGGACACAGGTGCTGCAAAGCAGCTGCAGGGAAACAAGCAATTTTATCTTCTGTGCTGTGTTACCTCATCTTCCATTGTGAAGGCCACAAAAAGGCAAGGCAGCTGGAAGGAGATGAGGGAACAGCCCACAGCTGTTTGGATGCACATCACAGGGAGAGAGGGAAACGGAGCCCTCGATGGCTTTGCAAATCTCTGTGGCTGAGTAGTAGGTGCTACTGGTATCCCAAGTAATTTCCAGTGTGGGAAGTTTTGAAAATTATGCAATCTTCTCAGTACTCTCACTTTAATGGCTCTACAAATAGTGTTTGAGAATGGATGACACACTGAATCATGCAAGATTAACACCGAGTAAGCATTCTTTGGATGTTTGTTGCATTAACCTGGAGAGAAATGTTCTCAAGAAGATACTAAGACAGACACAAATCTAAAAGATAATTCTAAATTCATTGACTCTGAGGATGACTGGAGTGTCTGTGATTTTACAGAAGGCTGCAAAAATGGGTGTAGTTACTGCAGACACCAACAGTGTTTGAAAGAAAAAGTCTGAACAAACTTAGCAACTGGATGAAAATGTTGAAAGGCAGCTTATGAAGAACACAGACTAACAGGCATAAAGTTTGGCAGAAAGCAAAGGTATTTGACCAAAGAAAGTCTCCACTAGGTACGATATGTGTCTAAACTATGACAGCGTGACGTGGTTAATGCAGAGCCAAGAGTAGCAAAAGTAATTTGATCTCTTTTTTTGTATGGTTTCCAAAAGAAAAAGGCTTGTCCTTTTCCCCAGCTATCTCCATTGCTGCAGTGTGTGCAGCTGATAGAAGTGGCTGCCCACAAAGAGCCCAGTGTGACCAACACACCAATACTGCCTTTTGGAGCAACTGGTCCAGGCTTCACGTGCTCCAGCGTGGAGCCCAAATGATAAGTCCACCAATCCACTGCCTCTGTTAAAAGTGGCATCCACATGCCCCTACTAAACCTCAGCTGGAGGCAAACAGCGTGTCCCCAGGGCAGTGCAAGGCCTGTGCTTACCCTTCTTGTAACTGTTCATTCCCAGACTCCTCGGCCACAAGAATCTCGTACTCTTCAGCAGCATATCTGTCCCAGTCAGAGGGTTCAGGGCCATCATTTTCAGTGTCCTGAAGAGATCAGACAGTCAAGCACACTATGTCCACAGCTGTTTACAACAGGCCTAAGCACGTGAAACAGCAATTCTAGCAAGAGTAAGCAACTGTAGAGAAATAGCTAGTCAAAAACTGCCTTAACTGGAAGATTCAAACCATCTTAAGCCATTTTAACATCTGCACATAAATGACTGTGAAAAAATACATCCCTTGGTCTATAAAGCTCAGCGTGTGACCTGAGCTGCCAAGAAGCTGAGCCTGCTTCATTTCAGAAATGCTGCACATGAATAACTGCACATTTTCTTTGCTCTAGCTCAGCAAGCCCTGCATCTGTGCACTTGGTAACTGGTTGAAGAACTTGGTGATTTAAAATCACTAATTAAATGTTAATTGTAACTGATCTTTTGAAAAACTCTTTGCAGTTTGCTAAATTTTGGCAGGTTTGAGAGAAGGTTACAGAATAAGATCCTTACAAATATCTGGCCCTCTGCCATTTACTGTAAGACAGGCAAAATATATTACCCTCTCTGGCCCCACTCAGCTGCTCTTAGGATCATCCAGTTTAAACAACAAACAAAACAACGCAGGGTGGTTCTGGACTGAGATATATTTAAGCTTTGAATCACAGAACCACAAAATTCCCCTTACAGGTTTTGTGGGAACAGCTGCAAGGGAAGCAGAGTTGGTTTTGGCATCCCCACCACTTCACTTTACTCTGACCAGATAAGAGGCTTCTGGGAGAGAGCCTGTAAGCTGTAGACACATCTAGTTTCACTGGCTGTGCAAGAGGAGCCAGAGGTGAGGGACTTTACACCAACAGCTGACAAAACTCAAGTCTCTGAACGTCCGACAGCCAGTGGCGAGCAACAGTGGCACAAAACAAAAGCCACAATCGCCTCCTGTATTTGCTCTGCTTGGGAAGAGGGGATGACGAATGACAGTGCAGCCGGGCTGATAACCAGGCACAGTCTGCAATAGCCCAACCTTCCATCTGGTCTGCCACGCATGTGGCCTGATGACGGAGCTGGCATCTCGGCTGCCTCGGCCCCTGCGCTGTAAAGGTCTGTCTCTGGTTCTGTCTAGGCTACAGGAAAATTGCTAGTGCTGGTCTAAGGACTCATGAATCTTCATGCATAGCCTACTTATTTACAACTGTCGCTGTGTAGGAGATGGGAAGAGACAAAGAGTATCTCAAGTTTGGAATCTCACAGCTCTTTTCTAAACTAAGCAAACCAGGCTTCCTCCTAGTGCAGCTGCGCCTGCCCCTGCAGCCTGCTGAATCACTGCAACGCAGCAGGCTCCGGTCATTCGCTCTACAATCACACACCGTGCTGGCAGTGCTGGAGTAGCAGGACCAGTGATGGCAACCGGATCAGAGAATAGCAGTATGACTTGTCTTGGGAGAGACCCAGGAGGCCTCTAATCCCAGCCTCTGCTCAAATCAGGGTTTGCTATGAGGTCAGATCATGGGGCTCAGGGCTTTGTCCAGTCACATCTTACAAACTTCCAAGAAGAGGAGCTGCACCACCCCTCTGGGCAACCTGTTCCAATGTTTGACCACCCTATGTGTGAAAAAAGTTTTCTTATATTCAGTTGGATTCCCCCTACATCCACTTGCATTCCAAAGATGAGTTTGAAAAGGCCTGAAATAAAGGTGATCTGTACCTTTTGCACTGCAAAGGGATCCCTCTGTTCATTGTCCAGATATTTCTCTAAATTAAAGAAGGTGTTGTAGAATACGTGAGCCATTCTGCACCTCTTCAGGTCTCGCAGGGTTACTCTTCCTGCAGAAAAACCCACAAAGTATTGCGCTGAGCTTTTAGTGAGACACTGGACCTTGTCAGTCTTATCATAGTTTTAATTAAAACATGACTATGCTACAGTATTACAGAATTTCTTCCCGGGTCAGTCAAGGATTTTAACACTGTTCAATAAATGGGTATGTTCACTAGGCTTAAACCTCACATGCCTATGGAGATCTTTCACATGCACATGAAATGCGAAAGAATGTGAATGGAGATGGTCCAGTTTCATAATCCAGACTGTCAGCACATCCCACAGCTGGAATATACAAGACTTGTTGCTCCAGTTCCAGCAAGTTAATCCACAAGGTCTCTTGTTTCAGTATTTCAAACCTCCTGATGTGTAACATTATGGCACAATAGCCATTGCTCACACTTTTACCTTGTACAATAATCTCGTCCCTGTGATCCTAACACAAGACACTACCTATAGATGGGTTTCACAGTGACATTACTTTCCCAGTCCACCACAGATCAAAGAGGATGGAAACTCCCATTGCACAGGACTTACCTTCCCTCTCTGGCTTAACGAGATCAAGCATCTGACACAGCAAGTCATGAAATGGCAGTGGTTCTATGCCCATCACTTCCATCCGCTCACACTGCTCCTCATAGAAGTACTCCAGTTCATACATGGAGAGCACTCCATCCCCATCCAGGTCCATGCATCGAAACCAGTACTCAATGCTAGGAAAAAGAGACAGGACTCGTGAAAGCACAGCATTGCACTAGGAAATCCATACAGCAGAGATCGCAGCAATGCACATTTCCCTTCCCTCATTCTCTAATGCTCTTCTGCCCAAAGGCTAGAGTGAAAACAGGAATGACAATACTTTGGGAAGGATCAGGGTACAAGCCAACACTCAAGAGCACCTCCTGTTATTCTCTTAGGTGGCTTGCGAGCACAGCCATGCTCATGTTTCACCTGGTAGCTCTAGGAAGTGGGCAAACATCTCACGCGTTCACCCCCAGAGCCACTGCTCTATGGCATGGGGAACCAAAGGCATTGATGACTACCAAGACATTTAACATTACAAGAAAACCCTGCTTCTACACAATTTCTCCTCAAGAAAGGCAAATGATTTGACCAAATGTTGACAGTAAGTTGCTTTCATCCTAATAAACACCAGAAACCAAGCTGCTGTCTCTTGCAGAAAGTGGTAGGTCACAGAAATTTCTGTAATCTTATCTGCTCATCTCAATACTTTTGCTAAGACACAGAAATCAGTCAAACCTTGTAGCACTCCTTTTGTCTTCCTCCGAAATCAGGAGCCACACAAAATCGGCATAACTCATGCGGCCTTCCTTTTGAACTTCATTGCCTCTGGAGGACACATGAGAAAAAAACAACCAACCACCAGGCTCCTGAATACTGAGAATTTAATCAAACTTTTTTTTCAAAAGCCCCAAATCATTGGTGAGATAAAATGGGGCATCATCACCCATTTAGCCTGTACTCCCTGCAGTCCCCAGCACTAGTCCTTGTGCCCTTCCCCACAGGCACAGCACTCCCTGCCTTGCTGTCACTGCAGTGCTGAGGCTCATCTACCACACTCCCTCCCACGATGAGTGCTGGGCTCTTTCTCTTTTCGGAGACTGCCAAGCAGTGCTCTCCAGCTATCCCTGGGCTGCTGGTGGGGCACAAACACAGTGCTTGCATGTTCCCTCCGGCTATGCCCAGTTTATCCTACGAAGAGGTCTGTAGGTGGTCATCCTATGGGATTTTTTCATTTGTTTTCTTAAGGAACCCAGAAGCCTCACTGCATTTTCAGGTAGTTCCAGCTGGAGCACCATGTTGGAAACCATTCTGATCAGTGGGGATTTTTGAGAGTACCTTGCATTTCTTATCAGCCTGATAGAAATTCCCTTCACTTCTATCCCCAGCCAGTATGCTATTCCTCACCTCACCACAGCGCCGCTGAATATTCGCTCGATAATCCTGTTTGATAATGCTGGAAACAAAGAAAACAAGGAGAAAATGAAGCTACAGGTCACAGGAATAACTACAATCAGTTATTTATGCTGAATCCACACAAAGCACTTCCCATGGCTAAAAGAAAGCTCTACCCACATTGCTTGTCTGGCCATTTCACTGGTTTCTGTTTAGCAGCATTTTGTAAAAAACAAAGATGATTGTCCCAGTGTGTTTTGTATCCTCCCAAACACCATCATTCTCCACAAATACGGAAACCGAATGTGATCTGGATTCATGGACACGGGCAGTATTACTCCCACTTTGCTGTAGCAGGACTTGTCGTGTAAGCAAATCCTGCTGTTTGGAGACAATTTTAATGTGTATTGCAAGAGAAGTTCAGCTGTGAAGCAAAAATCACACATCATATCCCTACAACACACTTCTTGGCAGAGCACAAGCTTGCGGCAATCCTGCTGCAGGGAAGGGCAAGGCAAAACAAGCGTCAGTTCAGGGGAGTAGGAGGGCTTTGCCAGCCACGATAGATTGTTACGGCAGAGACACACCAACCCAGCAGCAAGTACCAGTCTTGAGCAGGATTTGCACACTGACCTCACCCTCCCAGACTGCTGACACACTTCCTAAGATCCCCACCTTAGCTCCCTCCACACGCTGTCCCTCACTTCTGTGGTCCTGGCACCCTTCCGACACAACAGCCAGGCAGACCCAACCCACACCACCCCTGAAATCCCCTTGGCAGAGGGCTGACAATCTGCTGTATCACTGCACTGACGGCTTCTCCCCTTCACCCTGCCCACAGCCCCCCAGCACCCAGTGCTCTCAAGCCTCCTGTGCAGCAAATACTCCATCCCTGCATTCCCAGCAGGGCCCGTCTCCCACACCACCTACACAAAGTTGGGCACCCCTCATGCTCACTGCATCCAGCTCTCTTACAACTCTCTCAACCCCTGTGACTGCCACACTCACACAGAATCCCCATGGCCTTCCCTGCACTGGGGCCACCACACCACTCTGACACACCCCCCCGCAGCACTGTCATTCTCACACCCCCTTCCTTCCTTCTCACTTCAGCCCATTAGGATCTTGGCTCCTACAAAATGCTGTCCCCATCCCCAGAGCTCCAGCAATGCCCAACAACTTGTCACACCTCCCTGTAGCCCTACACACTACACTTCACCTTTCCTATGCCTCCAGTCACATGTTATGTCCAAACATCCTGTTTCCCCAGATCTGATTCTTTTTCCCAGACCTACTTTCCCCAAAAGTGCAGCAACCACATGGAAGAGTCCAAAAAGGCTTTGTCTTCAAACACCTAGTCAACAACTCAAGTTTTTGTCCAAGACATTACATCACGGGTCCTAACAGGTAAGCGCATGGGCATATCATGCTCTCAGAACATGGATAATCCTAAAACCAGGCGATCCGAGTGCCTCCAGCTAGCACAAGCATAGAGAACAAGCGCCTCTTAGCCCTTTGTGGATTTGGATTCCATTAACCTATCTATGGTCCTTTAAAAACTCACAGTCATCTGCTCAACTTGTGGAAAGGAGTTCCACAAGGAACCCAAGAGACATTCTCCAGAGTGCATCAGCAAACGGATATTCTCCAAGCTTTGCTGGGCTTCAGCATTTCTCTCATGCATTGTCCCTGTCCTTGCTTCCAAGTTCCTGCAAAACCTTTAGCAAATAATAAGCAAGTTTCAAGACATCATCTTAGCTCGTCCTTCTGGCAGTGACCCACACATGAACAGAAGCTCCCTCTCCAGCTACTCATGCAGAAAATAGGGTGTAATGCATTTCTCTGTGTGTAAGCCCCTACAACCAGCTCTGTAAAAACAGCATTTGTGTAAGAGATGGATGGCTCCATTTAAATTTTTTTGAGGCATCAAATTAACCAAATTAAAGCTAGGGTTTACTTTTTAAGCTATTTTCAGCACCCTTCTTCACCCAACCACAGCTTGCAGGCAGCATACCTTGATCACTGTACCTAGCCAGATCCTTCTGGCTGATGTAAAGATCATGGTCAGTGTCCAGCTCCCAGAATTTACAGTATATAACATAGAAGTGCTCATAAGAGAAATAATCTGTGATCTGATTTATGTCATCCTCTTCTTCCAAGAGAGCAAGAGTCTGAAAGAGTACAAATAAGCGGGAAGTTAAACCTAGACGCAGAGGCAGTTCAGCAGCTGAAGTCCTCCAACCCCTGTGGAAGTTGGGTGGACACAGTTCAAAGAGCTAGTCCAAAGTGCAGTCTTTCTCCCCAAAGACTTTGTTGTTGCATTCCTTAACAGGCGCTTACAGTGTCTGGCTCGGCTACCCTGGTTTGCATATGTACACACAATATTTCTGCCACTCCTGTGAACAGTTCCGGTGAATTTTCAGCAATAGTGAAGAGGAAGCAGAGAAAAAAGACCCAACTGTTGTCTCAGCTGGGATCCCTATTTATGAAACAGCTCCCACCTGCACCAGAGACACTTTGAGCCATTTACAACATCAACTCCACAGTTCTCCACAAGAACAGAGATCTAGCTTTATACATCACACATCCTTGCCCAGCTCCTGAAAATCAAGTCTTGCTCCAGACTCATGCCTGGACCGGGGAAGGAAGGATGGGTCCCAAGCAGATCAAATCAATCACACTGATTCTCCTGGGCTGTTGCTGACAGGAATTAGTCTGGTTTAACGGGAGGCTTAGGCAGATTTCCAACCATGACATCTGTTAACATGCCTTGTTAGAATACATTACGTGCAAAGTCCTTGTTTCATTCCCACTTCACACCTACCTCTGTCCTTTCCACTGATGGGAGGGTATTGCATGTTTACCAGTGCCACCTCCCTGCTTGCCTTTCTCCTAATGCTGAGGCCACGGGACACCAAGCAGCAATTTGAGTCAAATAAATTATGGCTGCAGGAACGTGAAAAGACTAACAGACTCCACTGAGCTTTCTGTCTGCCCTCCCCTACCCTTACAGCTTCTCAGAAGGGAGGTGGTGAAACACAGCCTAAGAGCTATCCCAGAGAGCTGTCTCTCTAAGCAGGCAGGCTTAGTGACCCTTCAGTGGATAACCATGAAGCCAGATGCTGTGCTATATGTAGGCACTGATAGCTCAACATGAACTTCCAGTCATCTCCACACCCTAGGAACCCAACTGAGTCTCACAAAACTCTCACATCCTGCTATCCACCAGGTTCACAACAGTTTCAGGCAGGGACACGACTGTATGGCCAGACCTGCACTATTCTGACTTGCTGACACAAGTCTAAAAACCTTTGCTCAATCACACACTAGCCTCTTCAGATCCTCTGTGGGGCTCTCCACTTCTCTGCAGATGATAATCCCCTGAGGAGGCTTTTCAATATTTTTCTTAAAGATCATGCCAAAAGATGCCACTTACACATGCAGCAAAGAGCTGCCCAAGTGAACTTATGGTCCCAGAGCTGAACTTCCCTGCTGCAGGAGACGAAAGGCAGAGTAGATATGCAAGGAGAAGAAGTGGGGGGAGAGTATAAAGGGACAAAATGAGTGAATGAAAATGCAGGATAATTTAAGAGGATTTGCTTATATGAGGTTAAGGGGAAACTGGGATCAGAAGGCTTGGACTGGCATAAGACAATCAAAGGCAAGTTATTTTTTCATTAGCTGATGTGATCAGTGGGGCATAAGGTGTTTGAAAAGAGAAGGAGCGTGAATTCATGCCCAAGGCTTTTGAGGAAGGCAGCACACTACATCTGAAAGGGAGAACAGGATGCAGTAGGGAAGTCCCACTGCTTCAGCTGAGTCCTCAACCTTTCAGCCTAAAGACTTCCTTGCTTTTTAGGTTGGGCTGGAGTTGAGCAGCCTTAAATGGTTTTAGCCCGGTGCTTTTGGACAAAACATAGAGAGAACAGAAATCCAAATCCCGAAACCTCTGCCCAACATAAGGATATGCCACAGGAAGCGTAACGAGAACTAGGCTTCTCAACCTTTCTGAAGATGTCTGCTGCAGAAGTGGAAATCAGCTCCCAGGATGCATTGTCTTGCAATTGAACAGCACAACATGCCTGACCAACTGTCAGGGGGCCGAGTGCCAGCTGGAGTCAGGAAATTGGCTGTCCTACCCACCGTGTATGTAGGCAATCCACCAGCTATTCCTGGCTGCTCAATGAGCCACTTCACATAGGTGTACTGCTGTGTCTCGCTCCCCTTCCTCTTTGTCTAGAGCAGGAGCCAAGAGACCATCTGCCTCGTAGCTTCCGAGCGGGTGCAGAGCTGTCCCTTGACCTTCTGTCAGTGCACTCTGGGCTACTCCACTCCCTGGTCTTCTCTCATCTCAACCCAGACACAACTCCCCCACGAGCTCTGGCCTCCCCCACGACACAGTACACAGCTACAGGAACAACGGTACGATGCATTCTGTATCTCGCTCAGGCAGAAACCAACATACTTGCAAGAAGTTGCTTTTCCTCAGCTCTGTTAGAGTGATCTTCCCAGACCAGGATCGATTGACTGTGTAGAATATTCTCTGTATAACCTGCAACACATGAACAGTGCTCTTGAAATCAACTCCTGAAATATAGCAGTCGGGGAATTTAAATGCAGTAACTTCATTTTGTTTACTCACTCATCCTACAGAAACTTTTTTGAAAACTGTTTTGTGATCACTTTTGTAGATACTACTCTCCTTAATTCACTATGCATTGTGAAAGCAGCATTTGTTTCTGAAGCAGTATTATCCATTTCCACTCTGCAAATATTTTCACTGCTCTTAATTCCCATCTTTGAGCATGAAGATGCATTATTGATGTCAGGAATACATTCAAAGTACCCACAAATCACTCTGAAACCAATTTTTTCAGGCCTTAGGCACTGTAGCTTGCATGGATCTCAACTGAAAGTGTTCTGCACTTCAGGAAAAAAATTAGGACTTTTGAAGAGGAAATAGGACATGTAGATGAAAGCCACGATTGATGTCTGACAATGTGTCTGTATCAATGCCTCATCCTCTTGGTGGCTCCAATGAAAGTAAGCAATAGAGATTATCTGTCTGCATTTATCTTGGGTAGTTGTGAATCTCATTGTCTCCTTTACTCATCTGCCCCTGGTGAAAGGGAGTAAAAAGTGTGTGTGGGATGCACAGGCTTCAGAGAAGCCAAGAGAAACAGTTCACATGGTGAGACTGGGTACTCCCAAGTACCTAAGAGCATGAGCTGAACCATTCCCAGTCCACTCCTTGTTAGCCTGTCAAACACACCGCCACGAGGTGGGGGAAAGGCAAATGTGTGAGCAAGCACATGCTAGAATAAACAGGGGAAACAGCACCAAATGAACACTTACAAGAGAAATTAGAAATATAACTATCAGCACTGAAATCTATGGAATATAATTCTCATTGACCAAACCTAATGCAAAGCAACCTTTGGTGTCTGACCTTGTGTTGACATGTTGTCCTAGATTTTTGGTAAACCTTAATAGTGCACGCTATTCCAACACGGACATTGCATTCACGCTACAACAGGGGCATTGTAGGGATTAATCTAGTTAACAAATGAAATGGGATGGGTTTGTTTCCTAGCCAGAGCCAGCTTCAAGTGGGCAATCACCATGTAAGGGCCACGTTTTAACTCATCATGCAAGGGGTGGTGCTTAGTCCAGAACAGATCTGGAACCAAGTATGGGATTGTTGCTAACACTCTGCTTTGGATACACAGATTGGTAAGACAGTAAATGCTGATGAACACAAATAATTGAGTGCCACAAGAATGATTTGAGGACTCAGTATGTCCTGAAGAGAGGGAACCAATATATTCAACTTAGCTGCACATGACACCTATTAGTAGCTATCCTGGTTCTTAAATCCTCCATTAGGGAGACGTGGGACAGCAGGACAACTTTTTGTCTCTAACCAAATACATAACTAGAAGCTGAAATCAGCCTAATTCAGACAGATAAAAGTGCACTTTTTTTACACTGTCATTGATTAATCAGTGGGACAACTCCCAAAGAAACTCTGCAGGCTCTTTATCACTCCAGACTTCAGAACACACACACATGTCCTTCTAAAGTTGGATGTCAATTCAGTTAAAAACAAACAAACAAAAGTATATCTTAACTACAGCTATCACTGAGCAATGTTCTATGGCCTGTGTAATGCAGAAGGTCAGACTAGGTAATCACAATGATCCTTTCTGGTCTTAAGCACAATGAAAAAGCTGTATGTTTGTTTCTTTAATGCCTCTGGCAGCTGCTGCCATTCTGGACTATTTTCGGGCTTTGTTTGCCTGTTGCTTCCAGACTGCACAAGGGCTGAGAGACTGAAGTGGGTCTCACCTCATACATAACCCAGTATCATACCTGTCAACTCTGTGGCAATTCTTAGAGGTACAGGGTTTTCACACCATTCCAAGGACTCAAAAATAACAATCCCAGGAAGCTGGAAAAGGACCCCTAACCAGCAATCTTTTTCTTCTCCTCTGCCTGCAGACAACCAAATATCCCCCTGTTTATGACACGTAAGAAACTGTTCCTCTAACAGACCATATTGACAAAGATGTTCCATCTGCTCTCTCCTCACCTATCTGTAAAAATAAGGCATTCATCAGTAAAACTGGATCTCTTTTCACCTCTTAACATGTCCAGTCACTCAGTGGAGGCTTTATTATTCACATAATAGTCCATTTTGACTGGATAGTACATAGTGTATATATCAGTATAAAAGGTCAATACTCCTCTCTTTCCAGGTTGTGAGAACCAAGCTGTCAAAAACAACATTTGGGAAACTTCCTAGAACATAATTACACAGCCAAAGACAATTTACAGCATTCAAGCCACATTTCTCAGTCATGTTTTACTGAAAGCCAAAACTGGCTTTGTTTTTCCCAGCATGGAAACTTACTTATTCTGAATTCAGTATATAAGCCTTTGGAAGGGGGCGACCCTTCCTATTTGCCCATTATCCTCACGCAATCTACCACCAGAACCCAAAACACTGATGGGTCAGTTCTAGGCCTTTCCCCCAGTCTTCCCACAGAAGAAGAAAAGCAATACCATTTCTGGAAAAACCCACAAAGCTTTATTAAACCCTGTAGGCCATCCTCCCCTTACACATTCGCATTGGTAATACTGCAGAAGCTAAAGCATTTCTCAACACACAGTATGTTTTGCCAAGTTGTTCTTAGCTGACTCAGCTTTTCAACAACAGCATGCAGCGCTAACTCTCAGCCTTGTTTGAACATTCTGGGAGAAGTCACATTTTACAATAAATGCCACGTGATATTCTGCATTGTCTTCACCAGCTTCAGGAGTTCGTCTCTGTTGAAAGAAACACAAGTAGTTTAGCATACTGGCAATACAACAGCTTGCAGATACTGACACAGATTAAATTACAACCTATTGTATCCAAAAGGCACCTCTAAAAGGTGCAGGGGTAGGCAAAAACAAGTTTGAAAGATGAATACACATCTTAATCCATACTGGACTGTTAGCTTACTCTGCAAGCGATTTCACCCGACTGATGCTGTACGCAGCAACGAACACAAAAGCCAGTGTCCCCTTATGGCGCTCATCTGTAACACAAAAATAAAATGTAATTCTTGCACTTGCAGCAAATACAGCATTCTGTCACTGTAAGTAGGTATAAAGCACTCTACCTTGAAGGGATCAAAAGGATCCAAGTAGTCTCAAAATCCAAGGACAAAGCTGTTTCCTTCATTACTTCCTGGTGGAAATACTCAATTTCGTAACATTAAAGAAGGAAGTACCAAACTGTCTGTGAAAGGAGATGTGAGAAATAAGAATTCCTGGTGTCAGCCACTGCTGCAGTGGGCGAAGTACTGCCATTCCAGATGGGAACAACCTGACCCAGACTGTCTCTTGAGGCCTTGACTCTGCTCCAACTCAGTGATCTGGCCAAGGCCAAACACACTGAGCTCAGAAGAAACCTGTCTGTCGGCACAGACACCCAGAACAACACAGAGGAGTCCATGAAGGCTTTGAAAGATTCACCACTATACATCATTCTTCTCAATCCTAAGTGCCACCATTTCCTGGGAACAAGCCTAGGAAGGCATCTCTGTCAGTGTTGTGAGTAAGGGTGCCTAAAGGCTCAGGCGGAAGTAGGAAAGCACAGCGGAGACACAAGCGGAATCAAGAAGCACTGAGGAGTTTCATATACATGGTCTGGTTCTGTGACTGCTTTATGGTGGTCACACAGGACCTGGCCCAGGCACAAGGGAAGCTGTGGAAAAGGAGAGGGGGATGAAAAGGTGTTGCTCTTCTTAGTAGCAGCCTGCACTTCAGTTAGCTTGAAGTGGAACCTCAGCTTCACACAGCTGGTCTCTCAGACCATAACACACACTGCACTCCAGTGAGGTGCAAAAGGTGCAGCGATTGCTGCTTCAGGACACAAGGGTGATCATTTGGGGGATTACTCCACAAAGACATTTGTTTCTTGTGACTTGAGAGGAGGAACCAGAAAAGGCAGATGCACAGAACTGCCTTTGTCCCCCCCCAACAGCCAGCACGAGGACAACTACGCTTTGTATCCTGACCTGCTCACCAGCAAACAACAACCAGTTGACACTGCAGTCAGAAACCATGCTAATGGGACCTTACATCCTTCAGTTCTCACCCCTCCATGTACTTTAAACACCAAATCCCAGGGTATATGTGCCACAGGCACCTTCCCCACTCACCCATTCATGTGCTTCCATAAATCCTTGGCCACTGTTATACCTACTCTGGCCAGTTACTATGCTTAACCTTGTCTTGGTCCATGTCGATAATACACTGATGTTCACCGTCACGTTAAAGTGGATCTAAACATTTTAAATTGATTCTTGTTATACATTTTCATAAAATGTTAGTGTGATAGTCGAGGTTTGCCCAGAGCAACGGAGTGTCTTTCTGCCATCTGCTCCTTACAGGAAAGGAACAAGCCTGTGTCTGCCAGCAATCTCCCAGCTGCCAGTACGTGGTGCAGCTGGCCCCCATGCAGACCCTGGCAAGCAAACAGGAGAATGTTTAAGCCCCGGAGCCCTGCTGGGATACAGCTCCCATCAGGTCTGTCATCATCTGAATTTAGTACTGCCACAGAGATAAAACATCCTAACATTTATATCTTCTAGCCACATACATACCCAACTGGAGACAAGCTAAAGGCTTAAAAAGAAGTACAAACTTATTCAGGTAAAGCACCATTCTAACTGCTGACTGCAAAGTTGGAGCAAAGCTACAGAACAAAACCCAACAACAAACAGTGATACAAAAGCTCAGAGACTCGGACAGACTAGATAAGCTTCCTGGCAAAAGAAACTCCCCCACTCTCTGGGTGGGAGCGTTGGATGGGAGACCCCTGTGAGCAATGGGTGCATTGTACCATGGAACAATCACAGATTCTCCATGCCTAAGTGACAGAAATCTTCAAACATACGGCCTTCCACGTCTCAGCAGCCCAGCAGAATTAGGGGTGACTTGTCAGCTCTCAAAGACCAAAGAAGGACTTCTCATTTTCCTTCATCAGGATTAAAGACCAAAAAGTTCTTACAGATTTGCTTAAGACCAGAAAGAACCATTATTAACCTTCTGAATAGCGTCTTGTACACCCAGGCAGATCCATTTTCCCTTTGGAAGTAGCTCTTACAATAACTCATTGCCAGTAATATTAAAACCACCTATTTTTTTAAATAACTGAAAGATTTGCTGATGGGAACAGTGACAAATCACAAAGGGAGGGTTGGTACAGCAGTGTCACAGGAGATCAAAGGAACCAGCCTACCGTCGTAATATACCGGGAATGGAACTCCGGAGCATCCTTCAGGAACGTCAGACCAGGATGCGTTTCCACCACATCCTGCAAGATAAGACCAAATAAAATGAAACAGATTTTCTTCTTCTTTTATTGTTTAGAAGTTACTGGGTTTACAAACCAATTCTTTGGCTTACTTTTGAAACTGCATTTGCAGCATTAACAATAAACCCAAAAGGACATCTTTTTATCTATAAAGTGAATCTTCTAGAATTACAAGTAGAATATCTTTTCTGGGCAATACGCACCTGTTGGGCCATTTTGATTTACTTAAGGACAGAAAAACAAAGGAAGAGAGTTAGTGAGTAGATGAAAACTCATTTTCATTGAATGAGACAAAAAAAAAAAATATCAGTTGACCATGCAACTATCTCCTCTCCAAGATTTTTTCCTCCATTCACTGAAGATATTAACATTTATTAGAGCTAGGTGTCAGAAATAAGCATTCCTTGAAAGGTTGAGAAAGTTGCCTTTTATGTCCTCCACAACAATGAAAGCTCTTGTGAGCCTCAGAATGCACGTAGATACGATCAGTGCTTTTCCAAAATCTACTTGAACTACCTGTGGAGATGCCTATTCCTCAAGATCAGCTTTTTCTAAGCCAAACACTGGGTCATAATGCCAAATCTGCCAAGAAATGCATGATCAAAACCATGGAGAATCTGCTCAGATCCTGAATGAATCAGCTCAGAGCCTGTATGAATCAATGTTTGTGTCATTTCTACACGTCTGACTCTTCTACCCTCAAAAAACCCCACAGAAGTGTTCACAGCCTTGCTTTGTCTCTACCACGATATGGTAGAGTGATAGAGCAGAGACAGTGCCCTTAGGGGTTAGCTAGGACCATGTTTTGGCCAGTCTAACTTGATGTCCAGAACGATGGTGTAATACCCTTGTGTCTGGTTGACTGACAAACAAGATCATACATGCTTTTGTCTGCACCAGTAGCTAAAAAGCAGAGCTGCAATCAATCAGGGAAGGCAGTGTGCCCAGTGGAAAAAAGATGAAAAGGAAACTGAGAAAATTTACCCAAAGTCCCAGTTTTGTTTGAGACACAAACATCCAGTGCAGACACAGAATCCTTCCCCAAAGCAGCATCTCCATAGAGATTTTGCACAGAGGGAAGAGTGTGAAAAATCTAGGAATATGTGAAAAAGCGTCAGAGAGGAGCAGATGGACCACATTCATAAAGAAACCATAAAGAAACCCTTAACCTATCCACAGCCTGCCTACATGGTCACAAATAATTCAAGAATGATACTTTGCTTTGTTAAAAATATCACATGTGAATAAAAGGAAATGAAAGAAATGAAATCAGGATGCACAGATTTAGCTTGAATATTAGGGCAAAAAGTTAATCAGCAGTGAGGGACTTGAGCACTAGCAGGTTTAGAGGCATATACAGAACAATTTGAGCTGCAAAATACTTTGCAAAGATTTCCATGTGATATTTTATCTGGCTGTCTTACAAAGTAAACTGCATTACAATTGTCTTGTCAAGCAACTTTTACAACTTTTCTAATAAGCTTTTATGTTGTGCTTGAGTATGAACAGCGCCATGCATTTTCCCCAGTAACCACCCAGGGAAATGGGGCACATTTCAGCCTGTTACCAGGCACTGACAAGCATGAATGACAGCAGGAGACTAAAAGCTTTGACAACCCTCAGCGACTTTATCAAGGTATCTAGCTGGTTGGCACTTAGGCAATAGTCCATCAAAACGCTCATTTCTATTTCACCCCCAGATCAACCCACCCAGGTGCTGTTCGAACCAAAAGACTGCTCATCCTTGGGAAGCATTTAGAGACATGACAATAACGAAGTTACGAAATAAACACAGTGCTCTCTTCCCGTCCATTCACTGTTGAGCTGGTGCAGGTACCTGAAGCAGTGGGATGAAGTCCTCATGTTGTAGGTAGTCACAGCTAGGCTTCGCTAAAAGGTATGTGAATCTGGACGCATCATCATGGCAGTTACAGAGGATTCTACAAGAGATAAGATTTAGTGGCTCACAAGCAATCCAGCTAGCTGCACATTCCTATCATACTGTCAATTAACAAGATACATTCTAAAACAACTGTAAAAAACATTGCTAATGCTTTAACTTAAAAAAAAAAAAGTAACAGTGCACATAACGATGAATCCCAAAGCTATCTATGTTTTAGCAACAAACTAAAAGATCTGATTTCCAGGTGCATTCTACACCTAGCAATTCCTACTGACTTCAAATGAGATCAGTGAGCATGTCACATTTTGAAGAGACAGGTCACCTTCTAAGATGCTTGAAAATAAGCTTTAGCAGTTAAAGATATAGGTTTTAAAATTATGGTTGTGTTCAGATAGCTGCAGTCTAACTTTACTAGGAATGCTACATTTATTTCTATCATGTTTCCAGAAAAAAAAAATTAGCAACTGTCAGAGGGAGGGGGAAAAAAAAAAAAGTCTTTCTAGAAGAGTAGTTAAGGTGAGTAGGACATACAAAACTTGGCTTGGAACAGGTGTGGTTAAAAGAATAGAGGGGCATGACCACAGTCTTCAAATATCTGAAGGATGTAAAAGTCAGAGGAGTGAAAATATATGGTATCACATATGTGGAATTCATTAGGAGTAATTGAAAGAACCTAAGGAAAGGAAAAATGTCTGTGTCAAGAAAAAACTTATTGATTACAGTCACCCCTAACATTTCTGCAAATTTGCCAGGGTAACTAGAAGCTGATTTGACACTATTATCACAGGAAGTACTTTGGGGACTCGGGGTTAAAGGCTACTTCAAAAATCCAAAGAGCAACCATTCAGTCAAACATTAGAACTCTCTGGATATGAGACGGAGACATTGTTTAGGTGTTTTGCAAAGTACACTAAAGCCTGAATCACCCTGGAGGGAAAAAGATTAGGCAAGAGAACAAGTCTGCTCCATCTCACACCTCTGACTCCAAGCATATAGCCAGAGCTCTCAATTTCAAAAAAGACGCTTTGACAGTGGTATGTAGAAGGGACTGACAAAGCCCAGATTTATTATACAGCCTGCTAGAGGAAGGAGTAACAATCATTAAAGTTCCCAGAGTATCCACTTGTATGATGCTTCTCTATTTTACATTCCTTCTTCCTGTCCTATAACATTATCACATGCCTCCTCTCCCCATTCCCAAACGGCACTTGTTTAATGCACTTTTGTAGCAGCAGTAAGGGTTCAGATAAACATATCCAAAATCCACTGACATCTATCAGCTATCTCACTAAAGGCTGACAGATTTCTAGGGAATGCGTTAATCTTTTATATGCCAAACAACGCCAAATATGCCAAACATCATCTATACACTGCTTCAAAGTATGTTGATGCAGCATGGAAACAAGTGTTCAGGGAGCTTTGGGGAAGAAAACTTAAGCTGATGGAGATTTTTAAGCCATTTATATTCTTCTAAAGAATGGACAATGATTTGAGAAGTCTGGTGGAAGGAAAGAAGAGGAAAACTAGAAACTTAGGTGGCAGGCTGCTCTCTTTTTCCAGAAAGAGGATTCTGCATTTGCTATACTCACTTTCTCCACATAGATACAAATGAGTGTACAGATACACATCCTGTCCTTTCTCCTCCTGATGCATTGAACATCGGTGCTTTCCAGTAGAGTGGGCAGCCACATATCTGTAACGAAATTCCAGAGCAAAGAAGAATACAGAACCTGCTTGTTTACATAACCAAATTCACCATCGAGACTTTTACTTAGAGGAAATAAAGTGGTAATGGCACACAGGCTAGTCAAAAAGCTATTTAGAATCTTTTGAATCCTAGAATCTTTTATGTTGGTAAAGACCTTGAGGAACATCAAGCCCAACCATTACTGTACGCCAAGGTTCAGAATCCACCAATAACTTTCTACTTTGTCATATGCCTTTTTACGAAGCTGAGAAATATGTTCTACCAGGCTGGGAAAAGGATCAAACTCTTAAGCTCTGTCTTTGACTGAACTCTCCAGCAAGATTCCCTGTGAAGCGAAGGCAGCTCCTTCCAGAAAAGTACTCACACCAGTTACCTCACTGGCCTACCTTAGAAAAGGATGACGCATTCTCTATATGGGCTGACTTCTCACTGACAGCAAGGGAACTTCAGTTCTAATTATAGACAATTAATGATTAAAGTCCTGAAGGTGAAGTAATTCCCATCCCATAGTTTTCAGTGCTGTGCCCTCTACCCAGAACAGCCCATTTTCCCAACACTGATATATCTCAGCTGGATAACAAAAACTATGAAAGCACAAACAGAAAGAGGGCTGACTCCAGTAAAAGGACTCCCTGAACACAGCTTTTTAACTAGCCTCTGCGGAGACGCTTACTTTCAGAACAGTAATTCATGACAGCTCAAGCACATTGCACTCTAATGCCTCAGAAAAGCAGGCTTGAAAATGGCTTCAAACATTCATCTGCTGACACCTTCAAGAAACCTCCTCTTTACCACAAAGATCTTCCCACCAACCTTCGTGACTCCAGACAAGGTACTGGAACACCTGCAAAACACAGGCCTTGGGAGGAGCGCAGCTGATTCAAGACAGGCACAGGTAAGAAGGGTATCACACCAAATGGAAGAAGGAATATTTTGAGGAAGGAGTCAAGGCATCATTTCTGGTTTCCCTATGAAGTCTCTTTGGCCTCTTCTGTTAAGCAAGACTATACTGCAAGTCCATTCTCAACTTTACTCTCAGTATGTGTGTTTCTTTGGAAACCCCCATTGGCATAAAAACTGCTTTCAGATTTAGCCATCCCATGTCAGGTGACTGTACTTCCACAGGTGTTCAGCTACGCTGAGGAAAGAATGACATTTGCTTTCTGCTGTTTCCTTTCTGTAGCTGGTTCTCCTGCATTTATTTCAGGGCCCCAAAACTGGCACCATTATCAGTAATCCCATGGAACAGAAGCAAGCCTTACAATAGCTAAATGGCATAGAGCTCATCCGTGTAGAGGCAGATGCAGAGACCAAAGAGAAGTCTCTCCTACAACACTCCTGCTTTCCCTAGTTTGAAAATGACAGGCTACACAGTTGCCTGTCATCACAAAACCAGTTTCAAACCTTTTTTTAGCCAAAGAAGTTCTTCTGTTTATGTTTTCAGAGATGGCTTACAAATAATGCCACTCGATTCCTCTAAAAACAAACAAAAAACCAACCTAATTTCTCCGTTCAGAAAAATCTTCTTTCTTAGAAAAGAAGTGCTGCTCTTGGACAGAACATCATTGCTCAATCTACAGTGCCAAGGATGCGTTCAGGGCAAACCGAACATACGAGATGCGTCTGACAACTGCTGAGTTTTAGCTCAGCATTACTAAAAACCATGGTTGAAGGAGAGGAAAATAGAACCACCCATCTGCAGCATGCTCCCACACAAGTACTGTGTTTTGTTCCCTGAAGCCAGGAACTCATTAGCAGGCTAACAACTCCAAGCCTGCTGACACCTGCATTACGGATATTGAACATATGCATCTCAGGGGCGGAGGGCTGACTCAGCATTTCCCTCTTCGCTGTCCAAGGAGACGTAGGTTGGAAACCACTTTCTCAAGCAACGCTGCAACAGCACACATATATCACCTCCAGATCAGTGGGACAGCTAACAAAGAAGGAGGCTGGCACTACCCGAAGCCACAGAGGCAGGCTAAGTTTCTGCTATCTCCTTCTGAGCATAACTACGGAGGAACAGAAACACACGCAATTTGTATTTGACAAGAAATTGGAAAGAACCGTTTTGCAAATCCAAGCAAGAAAGAATACACATCAGTTGTGACAAACAACAAACCGAGCTCACTTCTGTTTACTATTTCCTTAACCTAAACAAAAATATTTAGAGCAAAAGAGTTTGCTTCTTTTCTCACTAAAAAGGAGAAGAGCTGTAAGATACTTTTAGGTTTAGATCCACTCTTCCTCTCCAACAAATGAGAAACCTAGAGAACAGTTACCTTAGCAATTTTCCCCATTTCACAGATGTTTGCTTTCTCATCTTCAAATTCTGTGAAGGCTTCTTCAATCCTGGCAATGATTTCTTCATGATTAGCGCAGACATTTGGAAGTCCTTTAGGGAAGTAGAAACGTGGAATGTTTATGGACAAAGGAGTACTGCTGGTGGCTTTATTCACAGGCAGAAGAGTGCAAGGGCTAACTGCAGACTTCAAAGGGACTGGGGATGAAGTCCCAGGTTTCTTCTCTTGTTTACTTTGAACCTGAAAATATAATGAACAACAAATGCTTATTAACAGCATGGCATGCTGAACAGGAGAAAGTAGTTTGTGACCTCAGTCATCAGGAAAAAAATTAAGACCCAGCAACAATTAAATTACAGCACAGGGATAAAAATGAACGTCTTGAGTAGCCAGTTAAAAAACTTCTACAGTACCAAACACTGCAAATTTAGGATACACCACATCTGCTTTTATGTAGTTTCTGTGCATTTTATGTATGTAGCTGTGGATTACAATATACTACTGAAACACAAGAGGACACACTCTGCAGTTCAGCAGTCCCATAGAACAAGGACAATTTTCTTCTCGTGCTGGTCACTGTGTTGTCATTCTGCCCCATAGACAGCAAAGCATCAAAACTTGATCTTTCTATTTCCCCGCAGAACTAGAACACCCACTCACACAAACATCTTGCCTTATGTACAAGCAAATTTACACTCATAACCGACATTTTCCATCCCTTGGGAACATAATTTGTTTTGCAAAAGCGTTGTTTCACAGATAAATTAAGGAAAGACTTGCAAGACTATCTTCTAAATTCCAGGAAGCCTTTTATTCTGTTCTCAGCTTGAGCAGCCCAAGACCTGATTTTGTTCAAGGTACGAAGTACTGGCAAATCAATTTTCACATTAGGAATTACAAGCAGCCAGGACAGTTTGTCATTAGACACCCACATGATACAACACAACGCAGCGTTAGTGCAAAACGCAAAAGGTTGGTTAATAACTCCGTCTGGAAGAGTCCTTTTGCAGGGTAATCACCTACATTTTTTGCTGAAAAAGAAGAAAACTGGAAATTGAAACTAGGCCTTCCATGTGCCAGTTGGAAGATGGCCTTTTCTCCTGTGCCTACCACCTCTTTTTTCATTCACTCTCCCATCCTGCCACTCCTCTCCTGTCTGTAACAAACATATGGCTGATAGGGTGATTCCCCACTAGACCACCTTTCCTCTGGGATCTTCTAGTTCTAGCAATAACAAATACATTTCATAAAAGGCAGCATTTGTATTTAAGTACATAAGATCCTAAAATAGGTAATTTTTCAGACATAGGAGGGAATATTTTTTCAACTTTGGAAAGTAGTTACAGTAAAAGCAGCGGAATCAAAATGCTGGGTTGCTGAAGGATGACGAATTCCCTACTCCCCCATGAATACACTCTTTCCTGGGAAAAGGCGACAGGCGTGCCTATTGCACAATGCTTCGAATGGAAGAGTTATTAACATAACAGCATCTGTGATAAGAGGCTAATAAGGCAACACTCAAGTAAATACAGCTGCAACTTTCAGTTTGTTTATTTTAACTATTTCAAAACAAAATGGTTTAAGGATAAAGTAGCCAAGCCTGGAGTTTACTAAATGCCAAAGAATGTATACGATGAACTGACTAAAATCTTGATTTTCCAGAAACTCAGAGCTTTTTTCTTAACACACACTGAATACCCCAACTTGCCTTGGGTTTGCTTTCAGGAAGGTGAAGAAGTGAGAATTGTAAAAGCTTCCTTAAGCCCTGTTTCTACAGTTTAGAATACTTTATAACCCATTCTTCACAGACCTCCTTACAGGGACGGAAGGATTTTCCTCCTCTCCATTCCTCTGCTTCACTGCTCTTTAAATGGGGAAGACCTCTTCCTTCTCCCAAATGCTGTCCTATTTCAGGAACACATGTGCTTGCACGCACATGCCAGTCGAAGCATACTTTTGTGCCCAACTGCTCTGTACAGAGCACATTAACCTGGAGCTTGCGTTCATCTGAGTCCTCCTCTCCTCTGTCTTGCAATCAAGGAAAAGCTGAAGATCACTTTCAGCCTTCAGGATTTCTCAGTCTATCAATAGTCTTCAGAGGCTGTATGGTCCTCAATATAGCTTTCCCCCTTTGGAGAACAAGCCTAGTTACTACCCATCTGTTCTTCCATCTTCTTTGACTTTTCCTACTCTCTCCCTACTGCACATCTCTGTGCCTGATCCTGAGCGATGCTGGAGCTCAAAATGTGACTGTGACTGAGGTGGGCTGTGAGACAGGGGTCAGCTCTGGTTACTCTGTCCCACAGTATGACTATGCAGGTAGGTGACCTGAAATGGTAGCAGGGATTAAGCTGGGGGAGAAGTTGGTCACTTGCTTTGTGAGCAACCCTTCTACCAGCTTCCTTTTGCTCTTTACTCAGCAGAGTAACAAAAGCAAAACCCACACAGGCTGAATGTGTCCAGGGAGGGAGCTCACAGCCTCCAGAGTGGCCACTGCTGCATGTTAGAGATAGATGAAGATCCACCCGCCTTCCCATGGCAAGAGGGGTGAACATAGGTCCCTGAGACAGGCCTTCTCAAGAAGCCTCCATCTGGTTGGGAAACAGTGGGTTAATGAATCAGATACTGGTGTGTAAGTCAAGCTAGGGATTTGACCTGGAAAACTCACACACCATCCCTTCTGCTTTTATTGTCTGCCTCCCGCCCTGCCTAGCTAGTGGCCTTTCCAGCCACGACCCATTCCTACTCAGTAGTTTTCCCTTTCTGGATTCCAGCAGAGGGGAAATCCCTGCTGGTCTCTCACAGCACCGTATTCATACAAACAGTGCAAAGCTGGAACAGAATGAGGTGACAGCTGCAGCCACTTGACTTCCATAATAGGACTTCACATCAGTTTGTCTTGAAAACCCACTTCTCAAACAGGTTTACGGCACATGAATCTCTTCAGCGCACGCACACACTCCTAGCTGTCAGGACCGTGAGGAACTAGAAGTGACTCAAAGTGACAAAAAGGTCCGCAGACCAAAAGGAAGTAAACCCACATACTGTTCTCTCAAAGAACAGACTCTTAACTTGAACAATACATCCCCTTCCCTTACAGTATGAGAACGACAAAATTAGACTTTGTTTTTTCTCTTGAAAGGCAAAGAGGCACCCCCAAAGTAGGCCCCTACAATAGCACTGTGCCATTTTTCTCCTCTTCTGTGTACCATGTATTTCCTGATACGGCACAAGACTCGAGCTAATCATACTGTAACACAACTCATCCACTTCACCCGGGCCTCCACCTTTTGAAAAGCAGAGCAACTGCTTTTCCTTCAGGTACAGCCGAAATCAGAACGCCTGGTACTAGCTCACACAAGCCACAGGACACCAGAACTGACGTGAATTTCCCAAACACAAGCACAACACAAGCCATCTATAGGAGAAATACTGGGAATGCATTGTTCATGGATGGATTTTTTTCAGAAAATTCTACTAAAGGAAATGTAGTAACATATTTGAACTTCACCTTCTTCCCTCTCACCTAAGAAATGAGCCATCTACAACACCACAACAAGAAAAACAGGCAGCAACTAACTTTTGAGGATCCTGTTCCCTAGAACAATCTTGTAGGTTACTACTCTGGGATGGGTACAACCAGATGTCAACCACTATGGAGACAGCAGGGAGTTAATTACAATTATTTGTGAAAAAATAAAGTGATACAAGGGAAAATTCTGTCATAATCCCTGGAAAAAAAAAAACAATTTCTTATTGCAAAAAGGTAACCTTAAGCGCTGTTTGCTTAGTGGAACACATTTCTCCAAAAGGGATGTGCATTTTCAGAAAGGACAATTAAGAAAGGAAACTACAAACACTGTAATAAATCTTTTAGCTTTGTTACCAGTGGCTAATAGACCACTTTTCCCCCTGGAGAGGAAGGTAAGATTAAAGCCCATTTTTAAGTACTGCTCTATAGCACAGTGTAAGTTACCTGAACTAAAATCTGGCTATCCACTATATCCCCTCTTGCCAGTCATACAATTTATTCATGGACAGACTAAAATAGTGACATCTGCTTTATAAATAAACCAGACAGAACTACAGCTCCCTTGTAGCTACAAAAACAAAGTACAGACACTAAACCTATGTCATCCACGCCTGTCTCTCGGGGATGTGCCAGTCCCAGCACAAAACTCCATGGAAGGAAGTAGTATCACATCCAGTGCTCAAGTACCTTCTACTCCTTCCTCCTGGCCCTCATCCCCAACAGGAACACAGATAATAAATTTACCAGTTTCTTAGTTTTTTTCCAAATGGGATTCTGTAATCCTCTTTTCTAGGGTACAGTGACTCAGCCTGGTTTCTTGCAGTCCGCAGTGCTGACTTCATGTCTCCTTCCATTTTTTACAGTTCCTGTCTTACTGAAGTCTGATGGTAACTGGACACAAGCCATTCTCAAAGATCATCCGTTCTACAGAGCTGATTTCTATCTATGGCCTGAGAGTTTCTCTTCCTTCCCTGAAGCCCTTTCCCACCACTGTACCTTTCTGCTGCCTCTTTCTTACCCATCCGTAAGGACAGTAAGAACAGCAAAGGTTTGTATGCACGTGGCTCCCAACAGCATAAAGGGGGGAGGCTATGAGGAACTGCATTTCTGGAGAGATTCTTCCCTAATGTAACTTGTAAACTCACTAGCAGAAACAAATTCCAATCACAGCAAAACACAAAAGAAAAACTATCTAAGCATCAATCACAGAAGGATTTCGATGGGACAGGACACAGGCTGAGTCTAAGGCCAGATCAAGTTCCTCACAGCCTTACCAGCTGAGTTTTGGAAACCAACCTCACATGCTCCTGCTGACAAACGTGCCTACAGATCTTCTACATGCCCTTCCTGTGACTGCCATACTTCAGAGCCCAGCCTCCAAATGCTTCCCTGAAAATTCCATGGAGAAAACAACCAGTGTGCACCCAAATGAATGCAGACAGGACAACAGGAAGCATAAAGCCCCACTGCAATTCCCATCTGTGCTGACTCGCAGATGACGCCTCCCTAGGGGGAAGGCTGGCATGAGGACAGGCAGAACCTCAGGAGTGAGACACCTTGACAAACCGTCCAACTACTTCCATGAGAAAAGGTGCCAAGTTCTCCCCTTGTGCAAGGCTACCAAAGCATTGGTTCAGGCTGGGAAACCACAGTCTGAGCAACTCCCTGCTGCAAAGGCTGTGGGGAGGATGGTGTGCACCAGGCTGAACGTGAGCCTGCAGTGTTGTCTAGTTACAGATAAAGCAGATGGTGTACTAGACTGCATTAGAGTGGGGTCAGGAGAACATGGGAAGTTACTGTCTCCTCTGCCTGACACCAGCGAGGCTGCATCAGGATTACTGTGACCAGTTTTGGGCCCTTACTTCCAAAGGGATGGGGAGAGGCTGAACAGGGATCTACAGAAGACAAATCAGATCACTGGGGTCAGGAGATGTGGCAGGAGGGGCTGGGCCTGTTTAGCCAAGCAAAGAGGAAGCTAAGGATGGGCTAATCACAGCCTACAGCTGTTTGAAGCAGTTACAGAGATGGTGGAGGCCAACTCTGTAGTGGTATGTGATGTAAAAGGGGCAACACCATGAGCTGCAGCTTGGGAGGGTTAGGCTGGACAAGAGGAGGATGAATTTAAGTGACAGTAGTACAGCCTGAAAGAGGCCACTGGAAGGGTGTGGGAGGAATCCTTACCCTTGGGGAGTATTCAAGACTCATACAAAGACAACTCTGATGTGACCTGGTTTTAGGAACATCTAAAAGCGAGATGTTGGATTAGAGACCTCCCTACCTACCAACGCTGCTATGGGAGGGTCTCCAATCCTTCCATAAAAAGTCCTGCAGAAGATGAGCACGAAAACGGAAACTTACAGCTCTGAAGAGATAGGGGGTTTACAAAAAAAAAAAACCAAACACGAAACAAAAAAAAAAAAAAAAAAAAAAAAAAAAGAAAAAACCACAGAACAAAACAAAACCACTTGCCCTCCCTTGCCTTTCTGGCCAGCATCTGTGTTCCACAAACTACCTGTCGCTCATCTCTCGCTCCCTATCCCCGCCTCATTACCTTTCTGCCTGCTAGTACTTTTTCTGGTTTTAGAGAGCCCAACTGCCCCTCCTCTCAGCTCATCTCACACTAACCCATCCAGCCTCACAAGGCACGAAAATTAACATCTCACTGCTGCCAAGTGGGAGAAGTCCCATCTCTGCCCTCTACCCCAAACAGACACTGTCACTGCGTACCAAGTGCCAGCTCCAGAGCTTGCCAGATCCCTCTGTGAACCAATGTAACCAGAAAGGAAGAAAACAGACTCAGCTTTGTTGCTGGATGATATTGGATGTGTTATGAGTTAAACCAGCTCGCAGAAAGGCCCATGGGGCCCAGTGCAAGACAGGGGTAACACATGGTGAGGAAAAAAGATAAGAGGAAGCCAGACCATCTTTTTTCAGCTGTAATTACCCACTACATTAGTTCACTTGCCTTGGATCTGTAGCCCCAGAGCAGTTATTCTCGATGAATTTAGCAGTGAAGGTCGCTGCTCCTACTTCAGACCAGGCAGAGGGCTCACATACCAAAGGCTTATCAGTTTTTGCGGGTGGTCTACTACAAGATTTCATCTCTCCCTGCAAACCATGCTCTGATTATGTCCTTAGGTGGTCAGACTAAATCTGGAGAGCGAACTTAGCTGTGCTGCATGGTTCTAGTTAGTCTCGTCTAAATTGCTTGTGGTCCCCGCCCAAGGTATTACTACACATAATTACGTCATGCAATTCTCCTCTAGGGAGTGGAAAAACGTTCCAGAGATTAACCTCATATATGTACTTCAACCTGTCGCCAGAAATCATGAAAACAACATGCACTACAATACACTCTGGAGTGATTTTAATAGCTGTTCTTAGGAAACAGCTGCACCGCTCATAATTTCAACTTTTCAATTTCCTCCCTGTATTGCTGATTATTTAAATACAGATGAACATAGATGAAGCTCAAGGTGGGCTGATTTCAGCATATTGTGACCCCCTGTAAATCTGGGGTGGCTACACGCCCATTTGGTGTCCTAGCATAAATTACTCCAGTCTTTTGCCAGTTGTACCAGAAAGCAAGTACAGCAGCTAGAATTTAGCAAGAAATATAGCCGTGGTACAATTTCCATTTCTTTGGCTACATCTCCACGATCTTAACGGTCTTTTCCAACCTAAATGATTCTGATTCTATTATCTCCTTCAGTCACAGTCCAGAAACAGGAAGAAACATCACAAAACAGCACCTTGTGATGATAAAAATCACAAATGCCAAAGCTAGGTAGGCTGGTCTGTGCACAAATCTGTACCGTAGAGAGCCCAACCCACTAAACAGCAGAATGTTGTGGTTGTTCCATATGCAACAAGAAACATTCAGATCAATCACATACACAAACAGGGGTTTTCTTACAAAAAATCACAGAAAAGATTTAATAGGGAGAGGCAGTGTAAGACTGTTCAATCACTGCCCTTGCTGTTAATTTTTTCCCCCTTGTTTACAAAGACACTTTAACTCTGCAATCTAAGCCTGGAAGGTTTATTTTTAAACCTGTTGGTATCTAGCTGCAAATAACTTTCTGCAAATAGACACGCCTAGAGGGGACACAGTTTGATTCTCTGATCCAATAAAAAATACAAAGCAACAGAAAAAGAAAAAGAAACGCCAAGCGTTCAAACCTGGGCCTGCTGGAATGACTTCAGCCTCCTCTTGAATCGAGACGGAAGAACAAAATCACAGCCCTTCGCAAGGAAAGCTAGCTCCCCTCCCAAGTCTGGGTCCCTCCGCAGAGAACTCTCCTTGATCATCATTCTGGTCAGCTCCTAAGCAGATACTGCCCTTTCCAGAAGGGGCACAGGGACTCTGTAGGAGACCACGTCAAGACCAGTACGCTGCTCTCCTTGGTTTTGAATTTTACAGGCAAAAAATGGCAAATGGCTTCACCATACTATGTCTTCTCTCTCTCTTCACAAGGACAACATCTAGAGAATTTATCTTACTCCTGAAGCCAGACCTCCTTTTTTAACTGATATTCAAACTATCTTTCAGTACCAGCAGGATCTTCTGCCTTCTTGTAATACTTTAATTGAGAAACATGATCTACAACAGAATCTATTTCCCTGCTGGCTACATGACAGACAATCTGTCCTTGGCTTGTAATAGGCCAGGGGTAATATGGGAAAGGAAGCACCCACCACCACTACCAAGAGTGCTAAAATTAGATGCACTGCAGAAGTGGCTAAATATACCATCTTCCCCAGTAGTTAGAATCAGAATCATTCAGGCTGGAAAAGACCTT